ATAATGACTCTCCTCACTGTACTGTGGTATATCTATTAACTACAGGTTGCACATTAAAAGTCACCACAGAGAGCTTTCAATTATATACTCAAGCCTCGGTTGCAATCAGAAAGGAATCACCTCTACCCCCAATTTGATTATGTAGATTGGTACTCCAGCTCTTTTTTTTTTTTTTGCTTTTTGGGTCACACCTGGCTCTGAAGTCAGGAATCACTCCTGACAGTGCTCAGGGGACCATATTGGATGCTGGGAATCAAACCCGGGTCAGCTGGGTGCAAGGCAAATGCCCTAACCGTTGTGCTATCGCTCCAGCCCCTAGCTCCTAACTCTTAAACTGTGGGTCCTGGCCAATACTGGAACCCCCTAATTTATTACTCAGTATGTGATGATGAATTGTTTATAAAATGGGCGTTTTGCAGTATCCTTTGTACCTCCCACTGACCCATCTCCCAAACTTTGCTGATGCACTCATCATTAGTTGTTCAAATTCTACCACCCTTCGTGAAATACACCAACCCTAACAGCATACATCATCTCTGTATCCTAAAATGGTCTATTTTGGGGCCAGAGCAATAGTACAGGTAGTGCATTTGCCTTGCACGCGGCCAACCTGGGTTCAATTCCCCGCATCTCACCATATGATTCCCCAAGCACTGCCAGGAGTGATTCCTAAGTGCAGAGCCAAGAGTAACCCCTGAGCATTACTGGATGTGACCCCCTCCCCCCAAATAAAAATATTTTAAGATCATCTATTTTTAATTTTCCCTATGCCTGTTTTGTCTTCCAGAATTTATGTATATACGTAACATGCAGCCATGTTCACAAACTTCCATTCCAGCCCCCATTCCTCTCACCTCTCCCTACCACCAAGTACATGCAATAGCAATTAAGATCCAAAACGGTTAAGTGGATAATGCCTGAAAAGACCTGATTGAGGAGCAGGGATGTAACCCAGTGGTGAAATACTTGCCTTGCATATGAGACGGGGTTCAGTCTCTGTGTGGTCCTCAGCACCAGAAATAACCCTGAGCAATGAGTCAAGTAGCCTGGAACAGCCCAAATCTACTGCCCTCCTCAATGAAAGCAAAGGGCATACAATGTGCCAGGCATTGTGTCAGTATTGAGGCTAAAGATGCATAACACATATTAAAAAGTAACAGAAAAAGTACAAACTCAAGACCCTATTTAGAAATTACCACTTTTGAGGAAAAGCTGTATTTGAGAGGCAAAAATCAAACATCCCAAAATGGTCATCCCAATACTCTTTGCTTTGATTTTTCTAAGTTGTAAATGTTACCTCAGATGCTAACTTTGCAGATGTGCTTATTAAATCAAGGTATCCGAGATGAGGATGTTTAACCAGATTACCTAGGTGCCCCAATGTACCCACAAGTGTTCTTATAAAATGGGGGCAAATGGATGAGAGCTATTGCACTTTGAAGATGGAGAAAGGAATATAAAAGGAACTATATCTTCTACTGTAAAGATTCTCCCAGGCAGAAAGGGCTCCTTATACCTTGATTCGGGGCTCCCCAACCACTGGTCCACAAACAGGGACAACCTGCAGGTGTAGAAAGGTTGAAAGCCACTAGACTACCTCCTTGATTATAGAGTAGCTGGTAGAAAAGTGCCAGCCAGGTGGCTGAAGGTTGAATAGTCCTAAATGATTTTGACAAATCTGTTGTCATTTAAATAAACCTCTGAAAAAATAGTAACATAAGAACATTTACAAACCTCTAGTGTTTCTACAGGAATGGGAGGCATTTTAAAGAAAATATATGGTTATAGTATGCTACTGAGTGTACACTGAAAAAAACTCTAGCTAATAAAAGGTGAATTTACAAAAGGTACACATATAAGCAGTATTTTGGCTGGCTTGATAGCACAGGTATCAGGAAAACTGCTAGGACCAAGTTTTCCTGGTCCAGCTTACCAAAAGTAAAAGCTCCAAGCAGCTTTTCCCTGGCCTTGGATGTTCTTGTGGCACTTTTATTTGTATTATGTCCGTCTCAGCAGACTAAAACCATGAAGGCAGTAGTTACATGCACACCTAAGACTAAGTGATCAAGTTTCTAAATAGCATTTACTTAGCCCTTAAGCCAGGACTTCTAAGCAATTCACCACCCCATTCTTCAAGCTTTAAACCTGTGGACCCATACCATCCTTCTATCAGTTCAGACTAGCAGTCACAACCAAGGCAGAACAGTGATTTCAACCTTTTTGCACCCGAGGACTGGGGGTGAAACACAGTGGCTAACACCACCTAAAACATTCAATCTTTTTAAGAGCCCATGCAGTTAAGCATAACTATTATTTTTACTTTGCTGTTACAGTATCATTGGCCAAGACTAAGCAAAGGCTACAGAAGCTCCCAAGCAGCTTGGCTCCAGAACCTGAACACTCTACACCAAAGGAACCCTCAAAGAGAAGCAATTGGGGGCCAGTGAATAGTACAGTCCTGCATGTGGCTGACTGAAATTTGATGCTGCCACTTCATATGGTCCCGAGCCTGCCAGGAGTGATCCTTGAACACAGCCAGGTTAAGTGCTAAAAACCCAAAAGGTGTGGCGCCAAAAGATAAGAAATTATGTGCTAAAGGCAAGTGAAACTAACATAAAAGCTGGATTAGTGGGGCTGGAAGGCTGGAGCAATAGCACAGTGAGCAGGGCGTTTGCCTTGCACACTGCTGACCCAGGTTTGATCTCTCCGTCCCTCTTGGAGAGCCTGGTAAGCTCCCCATGGCATATTCGATATGCCAAAAACAGTAACAAGTCTCACAATGGAGACGTTACTGGTGCCTGCTCAAGCAAACTGATGATCAATGGGAGGACAATGGACTAGAGATAGTACAGCAGGTAGGGAGCCTGCCTTTTAGTCAACCTGGGCTCAATCCCTGGCACTCCACGTGGACCCCCTGACCCCATCTGGAGTGGTATTCGAGCAGAGAACCAGGAGTAAATCATGAGCACCACCAGGTTGCCAAAATACTGGGGGGGAAATGGGGGAAACAACAAAAAACCAAACTGGGTTAGCTAGAAAGGACCTTTCTAAAACCAGTGAGCCTTTCTAATAAAGGGTCCATTATAGAAAATGATATCTTGTGGAGTTCATGTCCAATTCAGTCAGCCTAATCAATGGCTGAATTGCAACACCCCTATATTAAAAAAAAAAACACGAAAATGACGTCTTTTTATTTTACCTTCATTCCAAGATTTGTAGCAGTTCACATTCTTCCTTGTTTGGGGGGCATACCAAGCTATGCCACGTACCAGTTTTGTTCTTAACCATTTTCAACTTCTTAACTCTTCAACTCCCAAATATTTCCTGATTTACTTTTAATCTCCAAAGATCTGTGAAGCCAGTATTCCTTTATGCTCTAAGAACTTGTCACCTGACTTTCGTTCTTTCATGATTCACTCTGCAAACGTCATTTCTGGACTGTGGATCCCATCCGACCATGTTTTCATTCCTGTGCCCCACACCCTTGTCCTAATCGTCTCCACTTAGATCTGTGGCCACCTTGGACCCACATGGCCCCTGGCTGAGAAACACAGAGTTTTTCAGGTATCTTAGACCTGTGCAGTTCCATGCAACTCCAATTTCTTGTGGTACTACTAGGAAACAAATTAGGAGTTTAATTTCCAGAAATGGTGAAACAGTATCTGTAGGGAGTAAAGCCCAATGGTTATTTCATTTACCTTAGTTCTTTTTAGTGCTAGAGAATTTTCTGGTTCCCTGCTGGCTATAAAAGGTGTGGCTGCTAAAGCACAGGGTGCAAACCCAGAGCTTCATCCCTGGCTCTACTTACCTGCCCCACCTCCAATCACTGATGGGGAGTAGTCCCTTTAAGAAGAAAATGCTTAAAACTCTTAGAAAAGCACTTCAGAGTTTTCCTCTGCGGGCAATAGTGATAGTACAGTAGGTATGGTGCTTTCCTTGCACACAGCTGACGGGGATCAACCCCACAGTACCAAATATGGTCCCCTCACCCCCAACTCCACCAGGAGCGATTGATCCTTGAGCAGGGCTAGGAATAAACCCCAAGTAATGCTGGGTGTGGCCCCAAAACAAAGTAACAACATTTTTCTGGAGCAGAGGATGTGGCTAAGTATAGTGCAAGGTGAAGGACCTGCTGTCCATCCAGGCCCTGCCAAAAAATAATGGGAGAGTATAGTATAGCAGTTAAAGCGCTTGCCTTCCACGTGGCAACCTGTGGCCAATCCCCAGCACCACACACCAGGTGTGATCTCTGAGCAGAGCCAGGAGTAAAACCCAGAGAAGCCTAAGCAAGCAACCAAAAACACCTTGCTACTTGGGAGCAAGTTTAAGCAGCACTAATAAAACATGCCACAAGAATGGTAACAGGGAAAGAGTACAATGTTTTGCTCTCAAACACACAACACAAACCCAAAAAGTATCTTCATATATCACTACCCCACATAGGGTACCACTTCTAGTCATCATTGTCCCAAAGTGACAAAGTTGCCTGACTCCCACACCTACGTAGAATAAATTTCCAAATATGTCTGTGTAGTAATTTTCCAAATCAACAGTTATTTTGATGCGATCATGTCAAAACAGCACCCTTTTCACATTGCAGCACACCCAAAGAGGACAGTTAAATGTTTACTTTGACTGTATTTGTGTTAAGGCTTTGTTTTTGGGGCACACACACCCAGCAGTGCCTGTGATCCAGTCCTTGCCTGTATCATGCAAAACATGTACTCAGTCCACTTGCTCTCTAGTTTAGCTCAGAATTTAAATCCCAAAATCTACTCCCAAATGACTACTTATAAATCATGATGCTTTTCTATGCTTTTACTCAGTTTCATTTTTAGAGGCCCGCTTGAGAACTTAACTTTTCTTTTTTGTGCAGAAGTCAGCTTTAAACCCACAAATGTTTTTACAACAGAGAGCAGACCCTTGTTATATTTATAGGCATCAAAACAGGCTGCTGATAAGTTAATCATGTAGAACTGACTTTTAAAAAAGGTCACCAATTCATTTCAATTTGAAAGTAATCGTTTATTAACTGACCAGATTATAAAAATATGGTAGATACCTAAAAGGAAAAAAGAAAAAAAAGAAGAAAAAAAAATCACGTTAAAGTAATCTAACAAATAGAATGAATATCAACAAAATTACAGGACAATACCAATTTAGTTTCCACTCTTATGTAGAAAAGAATGCTCTGCATACTACAAATATCCTCAAGAGTAATCAATCCACCATAATCTGTAAAATGCTAGACATCATTCCCCCCACTAAAATTCACACCAAACCTGTAATGGTAGATGGTCAATATTAAACTTCTGAGGATGTTAGCTGCTCACCTTAGTTCATCCGTCTAATCAGCCGGTTGATCTGGTCTTCTCTATTGCCAGCATCTCCACCTTCTACAAAATGGGTGGTCTTTTTCTTCATCCCACCCCTGGGAGAAGATAATTTGAAGGGCCAGAGGAAGTTGTTTGCCTCTTTGAAGCGCTTTCCAACAGTATAGATCTCATGAATCAGATCCTCCATGCAGACGATGCCATATTTACCTGGACATTTACAGTTTTTTTTTAAATTAATGGCTTTCAAAATTATGAAATCCATGGCACTCAACAAACATTAACAGGGCAGAATCAAAAGTCAACCAAGAATAAAGTTGCAGGGAAAAATAATTTCACTTAAAAATACACAGTTGAAATCAACTAAAATAGCACCTCAGACCTCAGTACTTGCAAAACTACAGCAAGTTTTACAATAGTAACAAATACAAGGTGACAAGATGCCCTTTGTGTGTATTTTCCCCCTAATGCCATAGGGTCAGGCAGAGAGAGCACCTACCCAGAGTTCGCGCGATCAGTGCATTATCCGTTAGTGCAATTCGCTTCTTGTGGATTTTGCCATAACCACGCTTGTAGATCAATTCATTTACTGACTTCAGGTTTGGGTACCTAAAACATGAAAAGCAGACAGAAAAATGAGCAGTGGCTAAGTTTATCACTTACAAAACTCTGAAACTCACTATGCTAACAGCCAATTTGCCAAACAGAAAGCAAGTAAGACATACCCCCATGCAATATAGGGTTCCACGATCCTCAGCATGTTAATCGAAGCCTTGTTGAGTTTAACAAAGGTACCATTGAAGATCTGGCGAAGGCGGAGAAGCTGTAGCACCTTTCGGACCTTGGGGCTCACACCATTGATACTGCAGTGACACAGAATTTAACAGACTTTTACTACAATTCCTATTAGAAAATCATTTGGGGCAACTGAACACCCACCCAAATACACAAAAACAACTAATGCTAAATCATTTATGCTACCTCCATTTTCTTTCCAACTTCAACCTGTAACTTGTTAAGCTACATGTAACTTTCTCTACCTGCCACACCCTACATGTGTGTGCATGCGGGGTGCCTGAGCATCACCCAGGGAGGGAATCAGGGCTTACTCCTGATGGGGCACGAAGGATCATACAGGGGTGCTGGGGATTGAACCTGGCCGTTACTATCTTTTTGGCTCATATTCTAGTTCTTAACTAGCCCCACCCACTCCCCAGCCTCGCTGGATGGCTATGCCTTCCCTCCAATATCAAAATGCAGCAGAAAATGAACTCACCCTCTGATTCTGATGACAAAGGCCAATTTGGGTTCCGCAGGGACGTAGAAGTTGCCAGCTTTCCTCGCCATCCTAGCCATGCGAATCTCCGTCCTGTACATCTGCCTATACTCCTTGTGATAATGCTTAGCTTTCTCATAGATCAGCTTCCTCCTCGCCTTTCGAAGCTGCAAGACAGTCCCCTCGTAAGTTTTGGCTGCTGCCAATCAGCAGTACCAAACCCATCGCCGGAGTACAGGAAGGAGGTCGTAACATCCATCTCACCTCCTTGCCCACCCCCCAGCCCTTCTCTCCCTCCAGACTTAAGGCCACTGGCGGGGACAGGGGAAGAGAATTACCATCTTTTGAGCAAACTTCTTTCGCAGGCGCTTGATCTTCAGCTCTGCAAAATTCTTTCGCTTTTTCTTCAGGGTTTCTGGCACATCAGGAAGCTTCTTTTTCTTCGCTCCAGCGGCAGCTGCTGCCGGCTTAGCAGGGACCTTCTTTTTCTTCTCTCTACCATTTGCAAACAGAAACATTAAGGGCTCAAAGCGCGGCATCACCCCCACGCTCCATGCCTCGCGGGGCACTCTTGCTCAAGAACGCAGTCCTGGTCCCAGACCCACTTGAACCTTCTCGGCTGCCCTCCTGTGCTGATTTTCTGGTTATTCTAGGCCAGCGCCTTTCACCTTTAGCACAGACCCCTTTAAAAGGGCAACCTCATCACTCACCATCGACAACTCCAATCAGCCACGGCCTCCCCGACGGAAATACCCAGAGCAGGTAACCGAGTATACGGTTAAGAGACGAGACTGTGGCCGCAGAACATCACCCCCGAGTCTTAAATGTGCCCCGAGCTGAGCAAGACTCAGAATCTAAAACATGGCATCCTCCGCTACCGCCCAGGTTCAAACCTCAGGCCCCGCATGCTGAGAGCAAAGGCCCGACCGAAAGCGCCGCCGGAATCTTAACGCCACCCGCCAGGAACCCAGTTCATTCAAAAAAAAGTTCTGCTTCTTCGGATACCGGGTCCAGATCGCCACCCAAGCTGCCGATTTCGCACGCCTGATTCGGCCATCAACCCTCGTATCTGTCCAGCCCAAACCTCCACGCAAGACAAGCCCGCCTCCATTATTATCCTAGAGCGGCCACGAAATGTCATAGAGCGTCACAAACACACGAGTTCAAGGGGGAAAGATACTGGCAACGGTTGGCTTGGGGGGAAACGGGACCCAGGGTCTCCGCTTTCGGGGATGGAGGAGGATTCTGGAGGAGCCGAAGAGCCACTTACTCTGCGCCTTCCATGGTTCCAGTCGGAAAAGAGGAAGCCGGCGCATGCGCGCTGCCCACTTAAAGACGTCGAGCGCGAAGCCCCACGAGTCATAGGTGTCCCCGGAGAAGCCGGAAAAGAATCCAGAACTCAGGACTCGCCCTCCCCGGGGCAAAGTTAGGCGCCGCCCGATTCCGCCCTTTCACGATTCAGTTTCAGGTAAAATTCATAGAGCGGGGGCAAGAAAAATGCCTTTCTCGACGAGCTTCCGGGAGCAATAAATAAAAACCAGAGCCCCCGACTGACACCTTGACTACTCGGGGTCCTAGTTGCACAGGCTCGCATTGACAGGGAAGGGCTGGGCTGGCGCCCCGTCAGGCACTCAGCTGACACGCCCACTCCTACCCCGGAGCGAACTACAAGTCCCGGCATGCTCCACTCCGGCTCCACTCGCGCTCCGGCGCCCCCGGGACTGCGGCAGTAGCCCCCGAGGCGACACCTGAATTCAGCCCCTGGATTTCCCCCGGGCGGAGACGCCCCCATCGCTCGCCAGGCCCGGCTTCTCGGGCGAACTTTTCCGCCTCTGCCACCCGCTTCGTGGCTGCCGAGGTCCCTCCACCCCCCCTCATCCCCGGGCCGCGCCGCCGAGGCCCGCCCCCCTCCCGTTTCCCCCCCCCGCCCCAGGGCTGTCCTCCGCGACGCCTGATCGCCGCGCGGGCGAGCTGGAGTTTCCCCGCAGTGACCCAAGTGACGGGACGGGGACGAGCGGCCGGTGGAGGATGTCCGGCGCGCCGGCGGCCGGCCGAGGGGCCCGGCGGGCGGGAGGGCGGGCGGCCGGGACGGTCCACGGCAGGGGGGCGTGGAGGCGCCGAGGGAGGCGCGATGCGGGCCGGAGAGCGCGGCCACGGCCATGTGAGCGGGGGCTGCCCGGCGGCGGCGGCGGCGGCGGCTGGGCGGACGGCGGGCGGGCGGGGGGCTGGGCCGGGGGCGGGGTGCGCCCGGGGGCGGGGAAGGCCGCGCGGAGGGAGGGCCGATGCCGCCGCCGCCGCTGCCGCCGCCGCCGCCGCCGCGGGCTCTCCCCGGCCGCCGCTTATATAGCGCGGAGCGTGGCAAGGCGCTCCAGAGGCGGCCGAGAGCGCTCCCGACACTCGCCGGCGGCGCGGCGCTGCGGAGCCCCGGGGCGCGAGTGACAAGGCGCGGGGACCGCCGGGCCCAGCGGGCCGGGGAGGGGGGAGAACACGAGACCGCGGGGGGCGGGGGGAAGCTGCCAAGCCGTTGAAGCAGCGCTCGCCTGGACGGGGCGAGTGCCACCCCACCCCCCCACCTTCCCGGCTCTCCCGCGGGCCCGCAACTCCCCCCACCCACCCACCCACCCACCCTCTTAGCAACTTGGGTCAAGTTGACAAGTCCCGCGGGCGCCGGCCGGTCCGCGCCGTCCGGGCAGCGCCCGAGCCCCGGGGGGGACAGAGGGAGCCGCGGGGACGCTCGGGCGGCGGCTTGGCTTGGCCATGAGGGCAGCGCGCGCCGCCTGAGTCGCGGCTGTCACCGCCGCGGTAGCGGGGACCCGGCCGTCCACCGGGCGGGGCGGGCGGCCGCCGGCTGGAGGCGCGGAGGCGGGTCGGCGGAGTCCCCCATCCAGGACCACCAGCCGCGAGCGGCAGCGCGCACTCCAGCCCGGCGGGCGCGGGGCGCTGCCTCCCTCCTACCCCCCCCCCCCCCCCTTGCTTGGCAGGTCCCGGCCGCTGTGACACGCGCCCCGGGGGGCCGGGTGCGGGGCGGCCCGGCGGGGCGGGACGCGGACGCGGCGGCGGCGGGCTCGCGCGGCGGGGCCCCCGGGCGGTCGCGATGAACATCGTGGTGGAGTTCTTCGTGGTCACTTTCAAAGTGCTCTGGGCGTTCGTGCTGGCGGCCGCGCGCTGGCTGGTGCGGCCCAAGGAGAAGAGCGTGGCGGGCCAGGTGTGCCTGATCACGGGCGCCGGCAGCGGCCTGGGCCGCCTCTTCGCGCTGGAGTTCGCCCGGCGCCGCGCGCTGCTGGTGCTCTGGGACATCAACACCCAGAGTAACGAGGAGACGGCGGGCATGGTGCGCCACATCTACCGCGACCTGGAGGCGGCCGACGCCGCGGCGCTGCAAGGTAACTTGGAACCTGAGCCCACCCCCGTCCTCCCCGCGCCCCCCGGCAGTGTGGGATCGAGTCGCGCCCCGGCCCCGAGCCCTTCCCCGCCGGGACCCCGCCACCCCAGCGGGGTGTCCTGCCCGGCTTGGGAAGAAGCGGTCACACCCCTTCCCCTTTGGTCTCCCGAGAGAGGGATGTTGCCCCCTTTAAAAAAAAAAAGGCACCCGATCGCTTGCTCCTTCCTCTGTCCAAAGAGAGAGGGTGCGGGATCCCGTCCCGGCAGAGCTCCGGGGCTGGGGTCGGGGGTGGGCGGACGGACGGACTGACCGCCGTCGGGGTTCCTGAGCCCACCCACCCTTTCGGAAATTGGAAGGACCGCGGAAACTTGCAGCCGCCGCCGGCTGGAATGCGAAAGAAGCCGCTCGCGCTGGCCCTGGGAAACTCGAAAGCCTCGGGGAAGTGGCTCTCCAGGCTCAATGGACAGGCGCGCGTCCGCGGTCCTCGGGCGGGCAGAACCGCTTAGACTAGAGCGCATTGATGATTTCACTATAACTTCAGCCGCGGGGAAATCGTTACATTGTTTCAGCAGAGAGATAAGTGCCTTAAGTTCTGTGCGCCCAGCTGATTGATTGATTGAAGGGAAAGTGCTCGAAGGATTGGGACCTTTTTTCTTTTCTTTTTTTTTTTGGATTGGAATCTTTTTTTAAGGGTCCCGCGCTCCCAAAGAAATCGACAAGAAATTGATTAATAGGAATCTAAGGTTTGATTTTTTTAAAGACAGGGTGCGAAGCTGGCCATAAATATTGGCTGAAGAAATTTAATAATAGCTCTTGGTTTCTTGGCAAGATTAACTCGGGCACCACCCTGACCCAATATGGATCATTTGCCACTAGAATTATTGGCAACAGCCTTTTAGGTCAGAAAAATCAAAGGTCAAAAACGTTACACTTTAGATAATGACGTGGGGGACTGGCAAAGAAGGATTGTTCTGCTCTTGAGCCAAAACCTGTAGCACTGTAGCACTGTCCTCCCGTTGTTCACCAATTTGCTTGAGCGGGCACCAGTAACGGCTCCATTGTGAGACTTGTTACTGTTTTTGGCATATCGAATACACCATGGGGAGCTTGCCAGGCTCTACACTTGATGCGGGCAGGATACTCTCGGTAGCTTGCCGGGCTCTCAGAGAGGCAGGGAGGAATCGAACTCCTGTAAGCCCTGTGCAAGGCGAACTGTGCTACTGCTCCAGCCCAAACCTAAATGATACTTTTTCTCAGGAAAGAGAATTTGGGTTTTAAATAGACTTCTTACTAGTAAAATTGCATATTTACCGTGCTTGATTTTTGTGTGACAGTGCATCGTAGTGTTGTTCAGCCATTCCAGTTAGAACAAACCAAGTGGCTGCTACCTTTTTTTTTTCTTTCCCGTGAGAAGCTTCGTGCTCATTTCTTGACTTTGGATGAATTTAGATGATTATTAATTACAGTTTTGATTTGTGAGCCTTAAGGTGAGTTTTCCATTTTGAGAGTATGCATACTTCAGAGTAAAAGCTGTTTTGGCCCCTTTCCCCCTTGAAAAAGAGGAGTGTGTAATGGATGTGTTGGGAGGAGGGGATATTGCTCTCTGGGCTGTGATCACTACTTTCCAGGTGTCTTTAGCTCCAGAGAGCTGATCCCAGGAGGTCTTGGGCTTGTCACAATTACATGATTTTCCCCTAAGCAAAGTTATCCAGTAAATTGCTGTAATTCCCAAAGACACTTTTTGGGGAGGAAGGCAGCTGTAAGTTCAGTCATTGGCAAGCCTTGCACTGTTAGAAATTTGAAGCTCACTGTAGTATTTTTGTTTTGTGTGATCTTTGTCCTACTGATTGCCATGTGACTCACATTTTGCATCCCCTCCCCCTTTTCTCTTTCTTTCTAACTTCTTCCGGACTTCAGCTGGAAACGGTGAAGAAGAGATTCTGCCGCCCTGTAACTTGCAGGTCTTTACCTATACCTGTGATGTGGGAAAGAGGGAGAATGTCTACCTGACTGCTGAGAGGGTCCGCAAGGAGGTCGGCGAGGTCTCAGTCCTGGTCAATAATGCTGGTGTGGTCTCTGGGCATCACCTTCTGGAATGTCCTGATGAGCTCATTGAGAGAACCATGATGGTCAATTGCCACGCACACTTCTGGGTAAATATAAACATCCTTTTTTTTTTATGACTGGGCCCTCCTTGGTGAGAGGGTTGGGAACAGAGGGAGACTTCAGTACCAGCCTTAAGGCACCTGTACTCTTTTACCACAAAAGCTGCCTTCTCATTCTACTGAGAAGTGTCCGCCTGCGCCCCCCACCACCACCCCCCACGAGAATTAGAGTTTAAGCCAGTTCCGATTAAATACTTGTTTTCTTTCTTTCCCCTAATTCAGTATTTTTTGCGAGGGTAAAGACTGAACTAGTTTGAAAGATTGCCATAGAAATAACAGGAGGGAGCATAAAATCCTGGGTTTGTTTATTTTACTTTCTGTTGAATTTGTAAAACATTGGTTGTTCTTATGAATTCCTAAAGTCAGAGTTTAGACTTCCAAATCATTGCTCAGCCACATTTTAGAAAGTGCCAGAGATTCTGAGATCAGCATTTGTGGTCCACTGGGAGTAGTCAGGCCACCCTGGCAGTCACTTAAACTCCATTGACTATCCACAAGGTCTGTGGAATTATCCAATTTTAACACATCTTTGCACTCAGCTTAAAACAGAGGTTCCCAAATTTAGTCTGTTTCCCCCCTTTCCAGGAAAAAAAAAGAGTGATTCAATTCTTCCCCCAGGAATCTACCTCTTTAAGCAAACAGAAGGCACCCTCCCCCCAATTATATTAAACCTACCCCCCTCCCCCAACCTTGTTCCAGGTGCCCTTCTCTTTCCATCGCAGATAGCATTGCCCTCTTTGGAAAATACTGGCTTAGAAAATGCCCGTTGGGACCAGGGATGTGGCTTAGTGGTAGAATGTGTATACCCTATATGTGTGAGACCTTGGGTTTAAGTCCCAGCATTG